AACTCGGCTACTGTGGGTATAGCCATGGCCGGGATTCAAATTTCTACCGAGTTCGTAGCACAGCGAGCTAACCACTACACTGAGAACACAATCGTTCTTGCCCCCCAAATGATACTGAACCGTGTGGAAACATTTGATCAGAATAGCCCTGCTCGGGGTGTTCGGACAGCCGTTTGCGAAGTAGAAACAGGAGTTGCCAGAAGAGTATTGTAACCGTGATAGGCCGAAAGCCACACACGGATAGTGGCCGGGCAGACACACAGAGCCAGCACCGCTAAGAACCTGCGTTCAAATCTGGACAAAAAAATCGTGATTTGAAATAGCCGTTTCATTATAGTGAGTGAATTCGTTTCAGCCGGGGTCACCCGATGACTGCAAGGTGTTATTTCTATAAGATGTATCCAATGTGGGGTTTCCATTAATTTGGTAACGGTCCAGCTCTGACAACAGATTGGTTTGACTGCCGTGCGACAAACATTTATCTGTATCAAGCATTGAGCGAATGCAGCCTCCCCTAATGTTAAGGCATGTCAGAACTAGTTCCGTAAAATTATCCTTCCGTCGTCCAACACGGGGTGAGACGGTGCCTGCCGGCACATAGTCGCCTTGACATGACGCCGAGAGCTCCATCGGAATGAAAATCGTAGAAAACCCACGTCCAAACGTTTCACGCAAATAGATCCGCATCCTACTCCGCTGTGCCGCCGAGGGCATCGTGCGTTTCGCACGCACGTCTCGGACACGACGATAATGACGGTGTAAATTTTGGGTCAAATTAAAGCCCCATCCCCACGGATTTCCGCTTGAATACGAATCCCTGCTGAGACACTGACACCAACCCCCAAGCTTTGCCGCTCTCTACAAAGCACCAGCAGCGGCGCATCTACTCTCGTGCGCTCACCACAGTACTTGTTTATTGGCCCTTTGATGTTCTTTTTTTACACTTTACACAGACGTCAGGCATGGTCTGGTTGGGACAGCGATGCAGGGCGACGGCATGAATCATTCACGCCGCTCAGCTGTAGCGAGTGAGGGGCATTTGGGAAAATCCGGGGCTTGTGCCCCCTCTGTACTGGGGAGAGAGGGAACGAGGGGATTGGGAGGGGGGGTTGCGATATGGACGCTGCTGCTGCTGCAATGTTGATGAGATGAGGCGGGCCGCGCTTTATGCTGGGGAATTGGGTCACGTCTGGAAGGTCGCGACGGGGTCAATCACAGCCGCCGGAGAAACAGAGCTGCGAAGAGCCTTGTGGGTTTGTGTTTTGTTTGTTCAATGTCGCAAAAAAACAACACACGCGTGCGTGCGTGCATTCACTGGCGCGGGTTTGTATGGGGCACCCGGCGTGGTTGTTTTGACAACGAGCGCGTGCGCTCGCCCCACTGCTGCCCTGCAGGCGCGCGTCGCCACTGCAATTCAGACGGTGCCCACCGCCCGTGGCGACGATTCTTGCGAAAGCTTCGCCCCGGAGTCACAACGCGATGATCCTGGCTGCATTGAGAAAGCCGCTCTCTAAGAAGCAGCAGGAACAGCAGCAGAAGCAGCGGAGTTGCTTCGCGACAATGGCCAAGTGGGCTCACGCAAGCGTCTAAACGCAGCCACTTGGTGTAAGATGCCCTACATAAAAAAAAAACAATGGAACGTGAGCGTTCAGAGAAAATGATGTGCACTTTTTTTATTTGTATAGTGAGAATGAGACCGACGTAGCCTGGACTTTAACAGGAGCAGAGACTTGACAGCTCAAGTGGCTGTAGTTTCAGACAACGGGAGCAGCAATGGAGAATGAGCGACCCCGTCCCTCTCGCTGAGCGAACGTCGACTGGTAGCCTCGATGCAAACCCTTGGTTGTTGGTGCGAAAAGTGAATGGAGGGGAGCAGAGTGAGAGGGTGAGAGGAGGGGGGAGGTGGGCAGGGGGACAAATCCGTGGAGGATCTTGAAGATGGCGAGAGCGATCTTGGAATTGAACTGCGATTGACTTAGAAGCCAGCGGAAGCATCTGGAGAGATTAAAGTATCGGGGTCGTGTGAGCTTGTAAATGGGTGTGTGAGGCGTCTGGCCAGTGGAAATTTACGTCATCTGGAGTTTTGGAGGTGAGACATTTGGCGAGGACGTAGAAGAGAGATCGCCAGCAGTTGAGTCGGGCATGGATGGGGCGCCACGCTGGGTGTTTACTACCTCGCCTAGTATACAGGGGTCGTGGGTTCGATCCCGACCCTGACGCCTATAATTTTGGAGTGTGGACTTTGCGCTCCGGGACTTCGAGTTTTTTTCCTCCACGTTGAGAAACGTGCGTTTAGAGTACTCGGCTGCAATACATTTCCACATGATGATAAGCCACTCACGGAGCTTATATAGCTCCGTGAGTCTTACCTGGTAAAGTAAAATAACACACCCACAATGAGGCCCACACAAGTGGTGGCAGCCGAGGCAAGGACATGGGGGATGTGGGAGGCGATGCACAAGCCGGAGGTACGGGGTCCTGCAGAGTTGAGATGTTGCGAAGAGAGAAACTGGAGGCTCAGAATCGATGACACCTCCAAGGTTTCCGCACACCTTCTTCGACGCAAGCATTGGTCCACAATCTATTGGGTCTGGCGACCTCCTGCTGTGAACACCACTGGTCTCCACCCAGCCACGCCCCACCCAGCCACACTGAGACATCGCTGTTGGCGCACATGAGTTGATTGAACTTACCGGCCAAACTCCGGTGGACAGCTTCTTGGTTCTTTCGGTAAAGTCACGTAGAATAAAAAAAAATAATTAAGTTGTATTTTTTTTATTTCCATTCTACGTGACTTCACCGAAAGAACCAAGAAGATGAATCCCTGCAGTCACGAAAGCTTTAAATCCGGTGGACATGTCCTACTTAAAAGCCTGCTTACTTTTCTCATCCCATAATGAAACATCCCCCGCATGCTCGCTCTCCCAGCTTAAAAGTAAACACCGGCACCGTTCTTGGACTGCAGTGGGTCGCGTCCTGACCTCAAACTTAGAACCTCAATTCCTCGCAGGATTTGTAAATCTGCGCGAGCCCCTGTTGAGACTGACGTCCGCGCTTCGCAATGCGTTTCATTTATTCCCAAAGCTTCCGTTGAGCTCTCATTCCATAGGTTCACCTGGGCACACTTAGGGGCTGGCAGACCGAAGACCTAATTTCTCACAGCTGCCGTACAATGCCGTGTTTGTTTTACGCTTGATGAATATTTTAACAATGCGATCTGCCTCTGCGAGTGTGGGCGGGTGTGTGGGTGTGTATGCGATCTGCATTATTTTATTCTTTCCCGATGCGTATTTGTGGTTGGGTTTTGGGGTCGTGCAAGGGTCAACCCCAGAGGTGGCCGGTTCGTTGATCTCCCTGCGTGGCAGTTGAAACAACAAGGCGATTTTATTAAAAAATCCCCCCCCTCACCGCCTCTATCCACCCAGCACAATAAATGGATGCACCACAGTCAGTCAGGCGGCAGGTCGTGTATGGTACGGTAAAGTGTGGCCACTGCCCACCCCTTCCAAGACGTCTGACCACCATGGGAGAGTAGGGCCAAGCATACCCTCTTCTAGAGGGGCACCTCGAGAGGTTCCCTCTGCCAGCAGTCGCGTGAGCAAGCTATTGTGCGGGACTGTAGCTTTACCAACGATACCTTTTGCAAAGGTTCATATTTTCTTTCATCGTATTCGGCACCCAGGTATCATAACTTATAAAACTAAACTTTTTTACTTTACCAGGTAAGGCCCACTGAGCTATTCAGCTCTTTTTCAGAAGCTACCTGGCCACAAATGATACCTCAATGAATTGGCTTATCATGCGGAAATTTATAGCAGCCAAATACTCTAAGCGCATGATTATAAATGTGCAGGGAAAAACCGGCAGAAGCCGGAGAAAAATCCACGAGACCACGGGGAGAACATAAAAAACTCAATTTCTACAAGTGTCAGAATTAAAATCGAACCCACGACCTCCTGTATACCAGGCGAGGTAGTTGACATCTCGCCACCGTGATCCACCGAGGGGTTTGGCGCATTCTCCATCGAGGGCGCTCGCACAGTTATAACTGCGAGTCGTCATTGCGGTTTCAGTAAAGCGTCGAAAGATTTAAGCGGGGGGAGAGGGGGGCTAAAAACATCCAAAAGATCGCAGCCCGGCAGCGAGAACGGGGACTTGTTTGAGTTTTTTTTCTTTCCCCGCACCTGCAGATTCGGCTTCTTGCGGATTTTCTTGGCGACTCTTCGCTTCTCGAGGCATTTTCCGGTTTTGAGTTGCACTGCGCCTTGATTTACAATGCGTGATTTCTTCTGCACGCTCCCCCCCCCCCCCCACCACCACCCCTCCCTCTCTCTCACTCTCTCCAAATGATTTTGCCCCGACGAGCATCCTTTTGTGCGTGAAAGATGGAGGTAATCGGCATGTTTTAGTCATCTGCAGAGAGATTCGTACTGCTTGGACGCGCTTCGCTCGGCGCTTCGCTCGGCGAGCTCCGTTCGGCGCTGCCCAGTCTACGCAGAGCGGGGGGCGGGGGGCGGGGGGGGGGCACTCCTTTGGAAGAGATTTCCCAGAAAAGCGTAATCTCTTGGCAACACATCAAAGGCCATTTTTTATGGGTTCATTGCACTACTCTGTCATTTCCCCAGATTTATAATGAATTGGCAAAGTTATTCGTGTTCATATTCTTGGTTCTTTCGGTAAAAGCCACGTACACATAATACAGAGCTATGGCCGGGGCTTTGCTTGCTCTTTTTGTTTAGTTAGACGTACAAAAAAATAATACGCGGCGATGGTTTGAGAAGTCTGGTTTGCGCCGCCGCATCTGGAAGCCGTCTCGGGATTTACGGCCGCTCGTGTCTCGGAATGCGGCGCACACGGTCGGCGCTTATTTTTGTTTCTTTGTCTCTCCTGTCACTCATCCCTGCCCCCCCCCCCATCCTCCTTCCACTCACTCGTGCCCCCCCCCCCCCCGCCACCACCACCTCGTTGTCACCTTGCCTCTCCTCCCCGGATGACGACAGATCGCCTGCCTGCAGGACTTCTTCGGAGATGACGACGTTTTCATTGCCTGCGGGCCGGAGAAATTCCGCTACGCTCAAGACGACTTCATCCTGGATAGAGAAGGTACTGTGCGATCCATCACGATGGGGCCCATCACGATAGCGTAGGAACTGTGGCACCCGTCACGATTGAGAAGGTACTCTGGGGCCCATCTTGATAGAGACAATACTGTGGGGCCCATCACAATAAAGTAATGTGGAACCCGTCACGGTAGAGAAGGTACTCTAGGCCCCATCACGATAGAGTAAGTACTGTGGAGCCCATCACGATAAAAGTACTGTGGGACACATCACGATAAAAGTAGTTTGAGGCCCATCACGAGCTTGTTAATTCTAGCAATCTGCTATGATGATGGGAACTGCAGGATAAACAACAGCTGCTTTGCTGTCGGTGTGTGGCTGGGTAACGCAGTTTAACACAGGCTTTCGCGACCAATATCATCTATAATACAGGTTATTTTGGGTTAGATCGCATAAATATAAATGTGTAAATAAACCCGCCACGACCCGACAAAGCCAACTAGTAAGGTTTGTCACGTGAACAGAACATGCCGATTCGTTACAGATAGAGTACACCAGTGTGTTGGAGAGCAAATGCACAACATTTACAATCTGAGTTTCACATTTCACCAGTAATTACAACTGGCATAATCAGGCAGCAGCCAGATTTATGATGCTGGTTGCGTCGGGTGGTGGCGGGTTTAACGACACATTTATATTTACGCGATCAAGCCAAAACAAACAAAAAGTATTATGGGTGATGCAGATTGGTGGCTTATGACAGTGATCGTAATAAATCGCATGACTTTGGTCAATCTGCTGCTGGATGAAAGCCTCCACACACGATAGATATCATGGGGTTGTTTGGCTACACCTGACCACGCTGGTCGGTGTGGGTTGGTGAAGGGACGAGGGGGCCCAGGACGGTTTCTGATATCACACCCACCACTGATGCAAGCCGTGGCCAAGGGTCTGTTCTTCCTCTTGGTGGTGTAACGGGAGGTCTGTTCTTCCTCTTGGTGGTGTAACGGGAGGTCTGTTCTTCCTCTTGGTGGTGTAACGGGAGGTCTGTTCTTCCTCTTGGGAGTGTAACGGGAGGTCTGTTCTTCCTCTTGGGGGTGTAACGGGAGGTCTGTTCTTCCTCTTGGTGGTGTAACGGGAGGTCTGTTCCTCCTCTTGGGGGTGTAACGGGAGGTCTGTTCTTCCTCTTGGTGGTGTAACGGGAGGTATGTTCTTACTCTTGGGGGTGTAACAGGAGGTCTGTTCTTCCTCTTGGGGGTGTAACAGGATGTCTGTTCCTCCTCTTGGGGGTGTAACGGGAGGTCTGTTCTTCTTCTTGGGGGTGTAACAGGAGGTATGTTCTTCCTCATGGTGGTGTAACAGGAGGTCTATTCTTCCTCTTGGGGGTGTAACAGGAGGTCTGTTCTTCCTCTTGGGGGTGTAACAGGAGGTCTGTTCTTCCTCTTGGGGGTGTAACAGGAGGTCTGTTCTTCCTCTTGGGGGTGTAACAGGAGGTATGTTCTTCCTCTTGGTGATGTAATGGGAGGTCTGTTCTTCCTCTTGGGGGTGTAACAGGAGGTCTGTTCTTCCTCTTGGGGGTGTAACAGGAGGTCTGTTCTTCCTCTTGAGGGTGTAACAGGAGGTCTGTTCTTCCTCTTGGTGATGTAATGGGAGGTCTGTTCTTCCTCTTGGGGGTGTAACAGGATGTCTGTTCTTCCTCTTGGGGGTGTAACAGGAGGTCTGTTCTTCCTCTTGGTGGTGTAACGGGAGGTCTGTTCTTCCTCTTGGTGGTGTAACGGGAAGTCTGTTCTTCCTCTTGGTGGTGTAACAGGAGGTCTGTTCTTCCTCTTGGGGGTGTAACTGGAGGTCTGTTCTTCCTCTTGGGGGTGAAACGGGAGGTCTGTTCTTCCTCTTGGTGGTGTAACAGGAGGTCTGTTCTTCCTCTTGGGGGTGTAACAGGAGGTCTGTTCTTCCTCTTGGGGGTGTAACGGGGGGGTTCTTCCTCTTGGGGGTGTAACAGGAGGTCTGTTCTTCCTCTTGGGGGTGTCACGGGAGGTTTGTTCTTCCTCTTGGGGGTGTAACAGGAGGTCTGTTCTTCCTCTTGGGGGTGTAACGGGGGGGTTCTTCCTCTTGGGGGTGTAACAGGAGGTCTATTCTTCCTCTTGGGGGTGTCACGGGAGGTCTGTTCTTCCTCTTTGGGGTGTAACAGGAGGTCTGTTCTTCCTCTTGGGCGTGTAACAGGAGGTCTGTTTTTCCTCTTGGTGGTGCAACAGGAGGTCTGTTCTTCCTCCTGGGGGTGTAACAGGAGGTCTGTTCCTCTTCTTGGTGGTGTAACAGAAGGTATGTTCTTCCTCTTGGGGGTGTAACAGGAGGTCTGTTTCTTCCTCTTGGGGGTGTAACAGGAGGTCTGTTCCTCCTCTTGTTGGTGCAACAGGAGGTCTGTTCTTCCTCTTGGGGGTGTAACAGGAGGTCTGTTCTTCCTCTTGGGGGTGTAACAGGAGGTCTGTTCTTCCTCTTTGGGGTGTAACAGGAGGTCCGTTCTTTCTCTTGGGGGTGTAACAGGAGGTCTGTTCTTCCTCTGGGTGGTGTAACGGGAGGTCTATTCTTCCTCTTGGTGGTGTAATAGGAGGTCTGTTCTTCCTCGTGGGGATGTAACAGGAGGTCTGTTCTTCCTCTTGGTAGTGTAACAGGAGGTCTGTTCTTCCTCTTGGGCGTGTAACGGGAGGTCTGTTCTTCCTCTTGGGGGTGTAACGGGAGGTCTGTTCTTTCTCTTGGTGGTGTAACGGGAGGTCTGTTCCTCCTCTTGGGGGTGTAACAGGAGGTCTGTTCTTCCTCTTGGTGGTGTAACGGGAGGTATGTTCTTCCTCTTGGGGGTGTAACAGGAGGTCTGTTCTTCCTCTTGGGGGTGTAACAGGATGTCTGTTCCTCCTCTTGGGGGTGTAACGGGAGGTATTTTCTTCCTCTTGGGGGTGTAACGGGAGGTCTGTTCTTCTTCTGGGGGGGTGTAAAGGGAGGTCTGTTCTTCCTCTTGGTGGTGTAATGGGAGGTCTGTTCCTCCTCTTGGGGGTGTAACGGGAGGTATGTTCTTCCTCATGGTGGTGTAACAGGAGGTCTGTTCTTCCTCTTGGGGGTGTAACAGGAGGTCTGTTCTTCCTCTTGGGGGTGTAACAGGAGGTCTGTTCTTCCTCTTGGTGATGTAATGGGAGGTCTGTTCTTCCTCTTGGGGGTGTAACGGGAGGTCTGTTCTTCCTCTTGGGGGTGTAACAGGAGGTCTGTTCTTCCTCTTGGTGGTGTAACGGGAAGTCTGTTCTTCCTCTTGGTGGTGTAACAGGAGGTCTGTTCTTCCTCTTGGGGGTGTAATGGGAGGTCTGTTCTTCCTCTTGGGGGTGAAACGGGAGGTCTGTTTTTCCTCTTGGTGGTGTAACAGGAGGTCTGTTCTTCCTCTTGGGGGTGTAACAGGAGGTCTGTTCTTCCTCTTGGTGGTGTAACGGGGGGGTTCTTCCTCCTGGGGGTGTAACAGGAGGTCTGTTCTTCCTCTTGGGGGTGTAACGGGAGGTCTGTTCTTCCTCTTGGGGGTGTAACGGGAGGTCTGTTCTTCCTCTTGGGGGTGTAACAGGAGGTCTGTTCTTCCTCTTGGGCGTGTAACAGGAGGTCTGTTTTTCCTCTTGGTGGTGCAACAGGAGGCCTGTTCTTCCTCCTGGGGGTGTAACAGGAGGTCTGTTCCTCCTCTTGGTGGTGTAACAGGAGGTATGTTCTTCCTCTTGGGGGTGTAACAGGAGGTCTGTTTCTTCCTCTTGGGGGTGTAACAGGAGGTCTGTTCCTCCTCTTGTTGGTGCAACAGGAGGTCTGTTCTTCCTCTTTGGGGTGTAACAGGAGGTCCGTTCTTTCTCTTGGGGGTGTAACAGGAGGTCTGTTCTTCCTCTGGGTGGTGTAACGGGAGGTCTGTTCTTCCTCTTGGTGGTGTAACAGGAGGTCTGTTCTTCCTCGTGGGGGTGTAACAGGAGGTCTGTTCTTCCTCTTGGTAGTGTAACAGGAGGTCTGTTCTTCCTCTTGGGCGTGTAATGGGAGGTCTGTTCTTCCTCTTGGGGGTGTAACAGGAGGTATGTTCTTCCTCTTGGGGGTGTAACGGGGAGGTCTGTTCTTCCTCTTGGTGGTGTAACAGGAGGTCTGTTCTTCCTCTTGGGGGTGTAACGGGAGGTCTGTTCTTCCTCTTGGTGGTGTAGCGGGAGGTATGTTCTTCCTCTTGGTGGTGTAACGGAGGTATGTTCTTCCTCTTGGGGGTGTAACGGGAAGTCTGTTCTTCCTCTTGGTGGTGTAACAGGACGTCTGTTCTTCCTCTTGGTGGTGTAACAGGAGGTCTGTTCTTCCTCTTGGGCATGTAACAGGAGGTCTGTTCTTCCTCTTGGTGATGTAATGGGAGGTCTGTTCTTCCTCTTGGTGGTGTTACAGGAGGTCTGTTCTTCCTCTTGGGCGTGTAACGGGAGGTCTGTTTTTCCTCTTGGGTGTGTAATGGGAGGTCTGTTCTTCCTCTTGGGGGTATAACGGGAGGTCTGTTCTTCCTCTTGATGGTGTAACGGGAGGTCTGTTCTTCCTCTTGGTGGTGTAGCGGGAGGTCTGTTCTTCCTCTTGGTGGTGTAACAGGAGGTATATTCTTCCTCCTGGGGGTATAACGGGAGGTCTGTTCTTCCTCTTGGGGGTGTAACGGGAGGTCTGTTCTTCCTCTTGGTGGTGTAACGGGAGGTCTGTTTTTCCTCCTGGGGGTGTAACGGGAGGTCTGTTCTTCCTCTTGGGCGTGTAACGGGAGGTCTGTTTTTCCTCTTGGGCGTGTAACGGGAGGTCTGTTCTTCCTCTTGTGGGTATAACGGGAGGTCTGTTCTTCCTCTTGGTGGTGTAACGGGAGGTCTGTTCTTCTTCTTGGGGGTGTAACAGGAGGAGTGTTCTTCCTCTTGGGGGCGTAACAGGAGGTCTGTTCTTCCTCATGGTGGTGTAACAGGAGGTCTGTTCCTCCTCTTGGGGGTGTAACAGGAGGTCTCTTCTTCCTCTTGGGGGTGTAACGGGAGATTTTGTTCTTCCTCTTGGTTGTCTTTTTTTCTTTCTCCCAGTTTATTTGATGTTTTAATAAACAGCTATTGCCTATTACATTGTTTGTTGTGACTTTCTGGCCCGCGCCCCTCCCGGACATTTGTGAAATCTGAGCTTTATAGCTCATCGGATTTCTCCAGAATAAATTTTAACTTAAAACTTCCGTGACTGCAGGAATTCATATTCTTGGTTGTCTCTCCACCTGATGAAGACCGCTGGTGTCGCGATCGAAACGTCGTGGGTTTATTTCTTATTTTTAAAAAATATTTTACTATTTTTATTGTGGGTTTTTTGCTTTTATTATTTTTAATTTATTATTTTAATTGTATTTTTATTATGTATATTTTTAACCTCAATTTTTTTGTATTATTTTAATTGTTTACTTAAATTTTATTGCATGATTTTTTTTCTATTTCCCTGACATAACCGAAAGAACCAAGAAAATGCTCTCCAGAATAGACAAAGATTTTCTGATCCTGATTGAACTCACTCCAACGCTGTGCCCTGGTTTACAACAGCGGGCGCTCCGTGCCCTCTCGGGTCGCTTCGGCTTGCCACACGTCGTAGGCGGCGTGCGGCAACGCGGCTAGGAGGGTTGCCAGTGCTGAGTGCTGCCCACTCGTAAACAGTGGTGGGGTTTTCTCTGGGATCTGGGAATCTCCAGGTTTCCTTCCGTAGGAAGTGAAACCCTCGTTAATGGAATTGGCCCAAAACGCTATGATGTGAGGGGCCCCCTCCTCAACGAGAGTGAGGTTGCCTGGGTAGCGCGTTGGCACGATCGTTAAAATTTCACGAACCCAGTGTATAGCTTGCGGCATTTTAATAGTCTCCAACAGCAGCGAAACAGTAATAGTTTACGATCATATTAATTTGATGGAATTCCTAAGTAAAAGTACAGTCGTGCAGTCAGAGCAGAGCAATGTACAAAATGGCATCCGGTGGGTATTGATGAAGCGAATCATTAGAACAATATTTATACGTAATGTATTTCCACACGGACACAATATTTATGCGTCTTGTATTTACACATGGACACAAGGTGCCATTTGACCCACGGAGGTAGGAGTGAGCATAATTCATTCTGTCTGCCATCCCTCAGAAAACTCCATAAAGATTTTTTTTCATAAAATGAAACGACTTATATACACACAGGAACAACGTAAACATTTTCCCCCTCCACCTTTGATTTCTGGAGTTTATTTTGGTTATGGCGCACAGGACCCAGATTTACAGCTGGGCAGGCTGGCCAGCCAGCCCAGCCTGTGTGTTTGTTACGATTTCAGGGGGCCGATCGTGTGTGTGTGCTAGCAGCATATGTGTGTGTGTGCGCGAGTGTGTGCGCGCTAGCTTGTGTATGTGTGTGCGCGAGAGTGTGTGCGTGCGAGCGTACGTGTGTGTGTGTGTGCGCGAGTGTGTGTGCGAGCGTGTGTGTACGTGCATGTGTGTGCGCGCTTGCTTGTGTATGTGTGTGCGCGAGTGTGTGCGCGAGAATGTGTGTGTGCACGAGTGTGTGTGCGTGTGTGCATGTGTGTGTGCACGAGTGTGTGTGTGTGTGCATGTGTGTGCGCGCTAGCTTGTGTGTGTGTGTGCGCGCGAGTGTGTGTGTGTGGGGAGCGATAGTGTAGCGGTTAGCACGCTGCGCTATGAACCTGGCGACCCGGGTTCGATTCCCGCTCACGGCCAACACCAGTGACGATTATCTGAACCGGTCCCGGGCCTCCCCTAGGTCGACTCAGCCTCAAATTAGTACCTGGTGCGGTGTGTAAACATCGCCACTAGGGAGACAAAGGCGGCCGGGCGTGGTGTTGACCACCCACCCCCTCGTGTGCCGTGCCGGCCTTCATAGGTGCTCGCTAACAGCACTTACCCCAACAGTCTGTTAAGGCTACACGGAGGATCTTTGTCTTTGTGCGAGTGTGTGCGAGTGTGTGTGCATGTGGGGGAGGGAGGGGGGTTTCTGCACAAAAGGGGCCTCTCAGTCGCTGCACCTAATTGGCAGGACAGCAGGGGCAGTTGCGCTCGCCACACAGTTAAAGAATAAACCCAGACGCAGAAATCTTAGTGTCCCGCGCCGTGGTTCTGCCAGCGGGACCCCACGCTCCCTTGGCCGCCAGAAATTTTCACCAACGCTTCGGGTCGTAGCTTTCAAATCGTCTTTTTTTTGTAGAAATTCTTCTTCTAAATGCGTGTGTTTTCACTTGTAATCCAGAGGTCGACAGTTTGATTGGATCGGCTTGGCACTTGCTTAAATCCACCACCCCAGGCAACCTTCTGTGCACCCGGCAAATCAAATGTTAAAGAATCGGCCAAATTACCCTCGCAGAGAGGTTCTCTAGAGCCCCGTCTGGTGGCAGCACCTTTCTACCAGCAGCGGTGTGAGCAAGAAGTTGCAGGGCTGCAAATTTACCCTTTATACGAATTCAGCTAAATTAGGTCGAGCGACTTCGCTGCCTCTATTTGGCTGGAATCGCTAACACGGTGGCCTTTTGACTCCGCCAATCATGGCTGGAGGGGGTTGTCTCCCAGCAGTAGATGATTTATCTCTCATTAAACCACAGCATGCGGCCAACCCCCCCCCCCCTCTTGCTGCCCCCCACCGTCTCGGGTGCAGGGTTCAAACGTTCAAACGTGAGCGAGCAAAACCGAAATATCTCGCCGCCCGTGCGCTCCGAGCAACGTACGCAACTTAACGAGGCCCCCAGATTTAACCGAATGCGGCGTTGGCGCTCGCCCATTGGTGCTTGGCTTGACTTGTACACATTACACGATGGACACGCTAGGTTACATTACGGTGGCGTGAAATACTTAAGTTCATGAACTGATTGGCATGAAGATTATTTCAATGGTGTTATGAGAATGATGACATTTTTAACCGTGGTCAGAAATTAAACGCTGGCTCTTTTGGTTATAGCTTCGTAGGCTAACCACTGCACCACTGATCCTTCCTACATTGGTTAATGGGTAAAACTATAAACAGATAATTTCTCCAGTGAATATTGAATTTTGAAACAATATTGCCGTTTGCAGTCATTGGTTGGAATCAATCAATGACCTGCTTTTGTGGGTCACATGAGCCTCTCACACTGACATGGCTGATCAATCTCGTACAAGCACCATCTTCTAGCCGTGCATTCAGAGGGTCTCAGCTCCTGACGAAGGACAGATGATAAGGCCCCAATCCGAATCCTGTAGAGCAACTTGAATCGTCTTTTCCCAACTGCGGCCGGCGTTTCCCACTGCCGAGGCGCCTTGCAGTGCTGTTTATCATCACGAGCTTGACTTAGCTGATGAGAGACACGTGGTCAAAACCCGGCCAGAGTTCCCCTGCCGAAACAAATGCCGCCGGATAGCGTAAGCCTGGAAGTGCCATAAGCTGATGGGCTAAAAACTGTTTATAGGGCCTTAACGGGGGATTTTTATTTAATTCCACTCAGTTGTACCCTCTAATCCGGCAGCTCTATGTGATGGGCGCTCCGAAGAGATGCGAGTTCCGGTTGGTGCGAGCCCAGGCCGGATCGTTGTGCCGGGGCTTTTGTTGGCAATGTTGTGCAAGAGGTCCCGCGCAAGAGAGGCGCGCCGTTTGTGCTGTGAATCCGGGTCCGGAGCGGTCGGCGTGCGCAACTTGGTCACTCGCAACTTGGTCACTCGCAACTTGGTCACTCGCAACTTGGTCACTCGCAACTTGGTCACTCGCAACTTGGTCACTCGTAACTTGGTCACGCGCAACTTGGTCACTCCCAACTTGGTCACTCGCAACTTGGTCACTCGCAACTTGGTCACTCGCAACTTGGTCACTCGCAACTTGGTCACTCGCAACTTGGTCACTCGCAATTTGGTCACTCGCAACTTGGTCACGCGCAACCTGATCACTCGCAACTTGGTCACTCGCAACTTGGTCACTCGCAACTTGGTCACGCGCAACCTGGTCACTCGCAACTTGGTCACGCGCAACTTGGTCACTCGCAACTTGGTCACGCGCAACTTGGTCACTCGCAACTTGGTCACGCGCAACCTGGTCACTCGCAACTTGGTCACTCGCAACTTGGTCACTCGCAACTTGGTCACTCGCAACTTGGTCACGCGCAACCTGGTCACTCGCAACCTGGTCACTCGCAACTTGGTCACTCGCAACTTGGTCACTCGCAACTTGGTCACGCGCAACCTGGTCACTCGCAACTTGGTCACTCGCAACTTGGTCACTCGCAACTTGGTCACTTGCAAACTGAATCCATTGTCGACGGGCGTCTCTGCAACCGGTCGTGAGCAAATAGCCGGTTGCTTTCACGGTAGAGAGGCGAAACCTCACCGCTGACGAGCGTCCATCTGCTCGGCGATTATTTTAAGGATGCATTTCGTCACGCGTGCAGCGTGAAGTAAAAACGCGCCGTTTAATTTCCTCACCGCGCCGCGGCGCGGCTACCGGGCTAGGGATGTGGACAAAAGCAGCCGCGGGGCCGACGATGGAGATTCGCGGCCAATTTCGCGAGCGATTCGCTTAGCCTCAAGCAGGCCGGACGGCTCGCGCGAGGAGCCGGCGGAACTGTTGCGTGGTGTCCCGACCCCGGCTCGTGTTTCAGCAGACTGCCGCGGCCTCAAATCGACCGCCGGGAAGGGGGGACCACCGTCTACGCCTCGCCGCAGTGGAGCCAAGAGCCCGTCCATCCGGAGCAAGTCGCCTGGCGGATCAGGTACGCGGTCTCTTTGTCTCTCTCGCTCTCTCTCTCTCTCTCCTCTCACGCGCTCCCCCACGCCGATTTGAAAGCAACGCGTTATTTCGTGTTACACTGTGCGGCCAATAAATGAGTGAGCGTGAAGAGAGAGGGGGGGATCTGGCACCGTCGGTTGAGAGAGGACGGTGAAAGCTGGGGAGGTTGCTTTTTCTTTAGTTTGAGTGGCCCCCAAGAGAGGACTGTGTTTTGAATTGGAACTTCGTGGGGGTAAAGGCAGTGTTTTAGTTGCACGTGCGGTTTGCAACATCTTAATGTCTCAAACACGTGGCAGTACATGTAAGTATAATAATAGTGTTTTTCCCCTTTTTTTCTGGCAACAAAACTGAAACCTTTTTACAAGGAATCACGTGTGCATTAACCACAATACGTGTGGTCAAAATGCAAACAAAAAACACACTAAATTTCGATTTAAAGCTTTCGTGACTGCAAGGATTCACCTTCTTTGGTTCTTTCGGTAAAGTCACGTAGAATGGGAATAAAATAATAAAATAAAACAATAAAATTCTCACGACGTTTCGGCCACAACACAAGTGGCCTTCTTCAGGTGAAAGGAACAAATCTGTCGGGACGACAGAGCTACAATGAACGCTGCAAACGCTGCTAAAAGACGCTGCGAATCTTAGCAGCGTTCAGTGTAGCTCTGTCGTCCCGACAGGTTTGTTCCTTTCACCTGAAGAAGGCCACTTGTGTTGTGGCCGAAACGTCGTGAGAATTTTATTGTTTTATTTTATTATTTTATTCTCATTCTACGTGACTTTACCGAAAGAACCAAAGAAGAAAAAACACACTGATAATATTATGCATTGTCCTTGAAAGTGATTGGTCCACACCAGAGACGGCTTTCTTTTAAGCCTCGTCTCAATTATCAGTGTGTTTTTTGTTTGCATTTTGACCACAAGTATTGTAGTTAATGCACACATGATTCCTCGTAAAAAGGTTTCAGTTTCAGAAAAAAGGGGAAAAACCCTATTATATTTTGGTACTAGCAAAGAAGGTCTAATGATGTAGATGCTTACCCCGAGCCCTCATTACTTTGATAGTGACATTGTCTTTGAGCTGTACGCCTTTTGGCGTCCTCTAGTCGAGCACCAATTGAGACGAGACTCAAAAGAAATCCCTCTCTGGTGTGGACCAATCAGTTTCAAGGCCAATGCATATATTATCAGTGTGTTTTTTTGTTTGCATTTTGACCACAAGTATTGTGGTTAATGCAAACATGATTCCTTGTAAAAAGGTAGAAGTTTTGTTGCCAGAAAAAAGGGGAAAAACCCTATTATTATATTTTGGTACTGGCAAAGGAGGTCTAATGATACATGTAAGTATGTCGAACTTATTTTGCACCGTACGTAGCCAACCATGCTAATCAGAGGTGCAGGGGACGTACTACCCATGCTTTGCACAGATGCCAGGGCATATTCAGTCAGATATTAACCTAATTGTGTGACGCGGGTAGGTGTCCATCTCCCAGTGTTATTCCTCCTGTGTATTTGGCATCATCACGCGAGACCAAGATTCCGTTTGGAACTCTCGCGAAGCAGTGAGTCGCACCATGTTAAACAAGCAGCCCTTGTAAGAATATATAACAGAACTGCTGTTGACACTACCCAGTTGGATACAGAAACTGGGGCTAGAATGATACATCGATTGATACGATAGATATCAACTCTTGAGCTTCTGATTAGAGCATGTTTGTTGAACTTCTTTTGCACCAGCTACTTTCGGTGCGAGAGAAGTTCAACATACATATTCATCGATCATATCGCATGAGAAGCGGTGATTTTAAACGTGCATACGTTGAAAGCATTTGCTCGATTTCTCTACTGCAGAGGCATGTCCATTCCTCGCTACATTGAGAAAATAATTCATTCTTGATTCTCATTGCGACGGTTCATCAAAGGAACTCCGGGGTAGAGGAGGGAGGATGTATATCGTTGCACCTTCAACATAAACCACCGCGTTGTTATTATTATTTAATAATAATATTACTATGTTGAGCAGTCCATCATGGGCAACCGAACCTTTGAAATAGACCAGCGACTTGCACAGCAGCAGGGCTGAATCATCGCGTCCTCCTTACCCCAGACGATCAAATATCAGAAAGGAATGGCGGGGTACGGTGCTGGTGGGAGGATGGTGGCGGCGGTGGTGGTGGTGGCGGCGGCGATCGGGGTATGAGACCGCATGGAGAGACGTCGGTTGTGTGTGGTGGGGGGGGGGGAGGAGGTGGGAGGGGGTGGTTGTGTCAGACGAGGAGGAGGAGGGAGAGGTCATAACGGGGGGCCCAGAAACCGAGCCAGACAGCTGTGCGCCACGCGCGGCGTTAAATGGGTCGGAAAACAATAGGGGATGGCTCCAGGTGGTCGCGTAATGCTCCGCGAGGGAGAGAGAGGGGGGTGGAGTGGGGGGAGATTGAGGAGAGAGAATATCAGACGGACGCTGTGATCAGCTGGGAATAAATGGAAGGGGAAAATCCGGGGGGGGGGGGGGGGTGTGGCCGCATTGGGGCGGCTCGGAGGCCACGTGGCCCCGTCGCGAACGCCTCCTCTCTTCGAAGTTAAATCCCTCGCACGCTTTACCTTTTAACTTGCGAATGCACGAACCCGTCAAACGCGGTGCTATTGATCTCGTCACGCGTTTTACGCGCTTTCGTTTTACATTCTTGATATTTAAGCTTTGGCTTTCATGATGTCCCTTTTTATATTTATTTATTCATTTCTCCGGGCGGTTTTTTTTTTGGTTACATCAAATCGGCCGCGTCTCTTTTACGTTCATTCTTGCCTACGTGCGAAACCTCATTTCTGCAATTTTGATCAAACGCGCACATTTTTTTTGTGCGCGTTAGATTCTCACGGAAAATAATTCCCGTGATTTATTTTGGGTCGTAGTCGGCGTCCCGGCGCCACCGTGAAGCTGCAGGTGCCTCTGCAGAGGCCTACGCCGCCCAGGCAAGAAAGCATGCCCATTCCCAGCTGGGACCAGTGCACAACAGCCCACGCCGTTCATTTAGCCGATGAACGGAGGGCGGTGAGCAGAGGGGGGGGGGGGGGGGGGGGGGGGGGGGGAGGTGTCCCCGGACACCCAAAACAATTTTAGACGTTGCCAAAGAAGGATACTGGCAACATCTTGGACGAGAACCACGGTCAATTTCGAGTCTGCGATTTTTCTCCCCCTTTCGACTGCGCTCATTGACAGAATCTTGACACACAGCTCGGTACCGCGTGAGTAGGCAGCAGTTGCGTGCGTGTAATGCACGACTATAGAACCACGAAACTCCTCTTGGTAACTAAGTACATCCATGCATGTAATCTGATTCGTTCTGTTCTTTCTGCGTGCGCTAATGCACGACTATAGAACCATGAAACTCCTCTTGGTAACTAAGTACATCTATGCATGTAATCTGATTCGTTCTGTTCTTTCTAGGTGCGCTACGAATGATAAATTACTGTTGATAATCTAACCCGTAACTGTTCACGCGCAGGCCACCACCGCCAACTTCCAAAGTGCGTCTCTGTGACTGGCACCGAGTGAATCGATCCACACCGCTCCCCCCCCCCCCCCCCCCCCCCCCCCCCCCCGAAGCCGACGCTTCGTGCGATGAAAATGATGACGGTGGTGGTGACGATTCGCAGACACGGAATATAAACTGCGGTCGAGAAGGACATAAATAATTATTTATCCCATGCGTGGGTGCTGAAAGCTGCCCTGACCGCCGATCCCGTGGATCTGTTTTCATTAAGTGGCACTGTCGCGCGTCAACTCTGCTCTGCTGCCTTACGGGGGACGCGCGCGCGGGCGGGCATTGTCTCCGCTATTTAAAATTGCATTTCGCCACCGCCCACTCATTTGCTTCTATTAGAGGCAGCCACACTCGTAATTAGCGCCGTCGTGGGAGGAGGGGGAACAGCAACGAGGGGAGTGGCGAGAGGGGGGGGTTCAAAGTCATTGTCTGTAATGGAACCTAATAATCTTAACCCCCCCCCCCTCCTATGCCCGATTAATTTAGAATTTTTTTTTACGCAACGCACGTACTGAATTAGCGAGTGTAAGCATCGATCTTTTTTTTCGATGTGTGTATTATATACAATCGGCCAGCCACCAGAGGCCACTACGTGCACCAGTGTTTAAAAATATATATATCGTCGGAACAGTTTGTGACACTGAATCACGACGATTCGTCGCATCGCGAAGGGGGGGGGGGCGTTCATTCAGCCCCTACTGTCAATATTCACCCCCCCCCCTTACCAACCACATCCCCACCCCCGTCCCATGTCCACCCCGCGGTATTCCCCATCCGCTGCAAGCCTCCGTATCCTGCCTTTTGCGATGCAGCTCGTCGGCAGTGAGACGGGCATATGGAGGGGAATGAAACAGAGGCAGAGAGCGGTTAAATTTTTACTTAAAACTTTCGTGGCTGCAGGAATTCATATTCTTGGTTCTTTTGGTAAAGTCACGTAGATAGAAAACAAAAAAGAATAAAATAAATGTAACATTTAAAATTAAAATAATAAAAAGAATACATTAAAAAAATTAGACTTTTTTATTTTCAATTTATTCCTTTTATTTTGCCAAAAGAACCAAGGCAGAGAGGCGTAAAAATATCAACTGCTGCCGTGGGGACAAGCAGCGACCCACGGACGCACGGTGGGTTTCTGGGAGGCTCAACCAGGACTTATGGTTGAGCTGGCAGGCCCCTTCCCAGCACCAGTCGAGTCACAGGGAGGTCCACCGACAACCACAGGCCACCATCCTAATAACCCCACAGAAAGCTTGTTGGTTGCGTAAAAAATGTTCGGCGACACGTTGAGCATTTCCAGAAGCGAGAAGAGGGGGGGGGTGGGGGGGGGTTCCCCTTCGCACCCGACGTTGCCTCCCGCACGTGGTCCTGACTTGAGCTCCCACGCCGTGCGTCGCCCCCGTGTCGCCCGCGTGCCACCCGAATATCGCCCGCGTGTCACGCGCGTGTGCAGTGAACGGCGGCAGCGGCAGCCAGCTGTCGACGCCGCGCTCGGCGCCATCTCCCAGCTCCCCCTCCAGCCCGTCCAGCCTCCGGCGCAACAAGGTCAGAGAGCACCCGACCCCCGACCCCCCCCCCCCCCCCACCCTCAACCCCCACCCTCGCATCGTAAGGTGTCCTCAGAGAAGGAATAAACCGCTGTAGTTGGCACAGTTGAAAGGTCAAAATCTACGGTGGATTCCGCCTCAAACGCGAGCGGGGGCCTTGCTCGTCGCCTGTTTACAGCCCCGAGCCGGCGGTGAAAATTTCTCATTCCTATGGTGAGGGAGCTTGGGCAGACACGTTACTCGGAGCAATGATGGCAAATGGTCAAGAATCATGACGGAGTGGCAGCAAAGGAATGGGACGTGTCTGGGAGCACATCCATCCGAGGAGATGGGTGCAAGGTGGCTTTATTGCATCAAAGAATTGTGAGAGATTGTCGCGTTTTGGGGAGGCTTTCATCCAGCCGTGGATTGACAATGGCAAATGATGATGGCGGGGGGATGAGTCAGCCACTGCAGACTTCCCTTAATATGGTATGAATTTTATTCACCCCCAACAAGATGGAGGGCTAATTTAACACCTGACCAAGATTTGAACTTGTGACCTAATTGTGAGCAGCCATGCTTTTAACCACCGTGCCACCTGGCGGGTCGGACCAGCCCTTCATTCATCGCCATGTAAGGAGGTCACGTTGAGAAAATAAATATCTTGTGAAACGATACAAGTGATGCACGTGGTAGATACAAAGGGAAGGTGGTGGAGCAAATATTCCGAGCAAATAAAACGAGCGGAAATTCGCTGAGAACCCTCTCGGCTCTTGTTCCTCGCGGGATACGTCGGCAGTCGTCGCGCCAAATGCTCATTCTGCACCGTGAACCCCCGTTGAGGAGGTATGCATGCACTGTACGCGGAGGCGTGCAGCCAAAATACGAACACGTGCCAGCGAGGCTGTAAGTCTCTGGCTTCAACATCTGGCAGCCGCAGAGCAACTGGGCTCTCGAGCCTGGTCTGCACGGGACGCAATTGTCAGAGTTTTTTTCGCACATATTTAATTGTAGGCGATGGCGCGGCCTAGCGGAAGCGCGCTCGCCGATCGTTGGGGAGGTTAAACCACCGCGGCATTTCGTCAGGCGCACGACCGTCCGGCCAGGTCACCTTTGTCAATTTGGGCACATGCCTGCGTTGAACCTTTGGTCCGTGGGAGGAAATCATTCTGTGCGGACTGTCACCATCGTTCAAAGTGAGCAAAGATTTACCCTGTGGAGTTGGCCAAACATCCCAATATAGGACCACGGAGTTTGGGAAATTGTACCATGCCGGTTGTGGCTACCCCCTCCCCACTTGCCTGTGGCTTCCCGTGACTCCGTGTGAAAACTGTGCGCATTACAATTTCTACAGCAGCGTTTTGAGATGCAATTTGAGTAAGTGACGATGCTATATGAAGTATAAAAATTATTATCGGTGGCGAGATGTCTACTTCCTCACCTGGTATCCAGGAGGTTGTGGATTCGATCCCGACCCTGACGCCTGCATACTTTTGTAGTTTGCATGGCGTCTCTCTCCCCGTTGTCGCGTGGACTTTCCTCCAGGCCCTCCGGTTTTTCCCTCCACATTTAGAAACCTGCGTTTAGAGTATTTGGCTGCTATAAATGTCCACATGATAAGCCACTTCGTTGAGCTATCATTAGTGACCAGATACCTTCGGAAAAATATCTGAAGAGCTCAGTGCGCCTTACCTGGCAAAATAAATAAAAAATTACGTCACACGGGTTGATACCCAGCGAAAGTTGGTAGCTCAAAGCGCGATATCACGCGTACAAACTCGGCGGCACGTTACAAATTTCGCGCCCCTCTCGCATCACAACAATTGCATCGCCTGGCTTGTTCGTCAGCGCCCTTTTCAATGAGGCGTCCTTTTTGTTTGTTTGTTGGCAAGATAATTGGGAGCACGCAAACTTAGGCGTACCGTTAGAACGACGTCACCTACTCTGCGAATGGAGGAGGAGGACCGTCTCACTCACTCGCCCGCCCCGCGCCCTCGCTGGACCGCGGGTGTCCCCTCTGCCCGTGTGGTTTGGGCTGCTCGTAAACCCAGCTGTCGGCCCCCCGCGTCCGATCGCACGCCGCTTTATTTGGCCATCGGCGTTTTTAATTGCGCGCGCAACAAAAGAGCCGATTTGGTGAGTGTCAACGCACGTTGACAGACGACCCACAGATGGCACGCTTGAGACTGAGATGTGCCAAAGAGCACAGTGATCTGTAAACGCGGTGCGTATATTGTCGTGATTTTGTCGACTGACTAAAGTACAGTGAAGGAAAAAAGGATTTGATTCCCTGCTGATTTTGTACGTTTGCCCACTGACAAAGAAATGATCAGTCTATAATTTTAATGGTAGGTTTATTTGAACAGTGAGAGACAGAATAGCAACAAAAAAATCCAGAAAGACGCATGTCAAAATGTTATATATTTGCATTTTAATGAGGGAAATAAGTATTTGACCCCTCTGCAAAACATGACTTAGTGCTTGGCGGCAAAACCCTTGTTGGCAATCACAGAGGTCAGACGTTTCTTGTAGTTGGCCACCAGGTTTGCACACATCTCAGGAGGGATTTTGTCCCACTCCTCTTTGCAGATCTTCTCCAAGTCATTAAGGTTTCGAGGCTGACGTTTGGCAACTCGAATCTTCAGCTCCCTCCACAGATTTTCTATGGGATTAAGGTCTGGAGACTGGCTAGGCCACTCCAGGTCCTTAACGTGCTTTTTCTTGAGCCACTCCTTTGTTGCCTTGGCCGTGTGTTTTGGGTCATTGTCATGCTGGAATACCCATCCACGACCCATTTTCAATGCCCTGGCTGAGGGAAGGAGCTTCTCACACAAGATTTGACGGTACCTGGCCCCGTCCATCGTCCCTTTGATCCGATGAAGTTGTCCTGTCCCCTTAGCAGAAAAACACCCCCAAAGCATAATGTTTCCACCTCCATGTTTGACTGTGGGGATGGTGTTCTTGGGGTCATAGGCAGCATTCCTCCTCCTCCAAACACGGCGAGTTGAGTTGATGCCAAAGAGCTCCATTTTGGTCTCATCTAACCACAACACTTTCACCCAGTTGTCCTCTGAATCATTCAGATGTTCATTGGCAAACTTCAGACGTGCTTTCTTGAGCAGGGGGACCTTGCGGGCGCTGCAGGATTTCAATTCTTCACGGCGTAGTGTTTTACCAATTGTTTTCTTGGTGACTATGGTCCCAGCTGCCTTGAGATCATTGACAAGATCCTCCCGTGTAGTTCTGGTCTGATTCCTCACCGTTCTCATGATCATTGCAACTCCACGAGGTGAGATCTTGCATGGAGCCCCAGGCCGAGGGAGATTGACAGTTCTTTTGTGTTTCTTCCATTTGCGAATAATCGCACCAACTGTTGTCACCTTCTCACCAAGCTGCTTGGCAATGATCTTGTAGCCCATTCCAGCCTTGTGTAGGTCTACAATCTTGTCCCTGACATCCTTGGAAAGCTCTTTGGTCTTGGCCATGGTGGAGAGTTTGGAATCTGATTAATTGATTGCTTCTGTGGACAGGTGTCTTTTATACATGTAACAAGCTGAGATTAGGAGCACTCCCTTTAAGAGTGTGCTCCTAATCTCAGCTCGTTACCTGTATAAAAGACACCTGGGAGCCAGAAATCTTTCTGATTGAGAGGGTCAAATACTTATATCCCTGATTAAAATGCAAATCAATTTATAACATTTTTGACGTGCGTTTTTCTGGATTTTTTTGTTGGTATTCTGTCTCTCACTGTTCAAATAAACCTACCATTAAAATTATAGACTCATCATTTCTTTGTCAGTGGGCAAACGTACAAAATCAGCAGGGGATCAAATACTTTTTTCCCCTCACTGTAACAAAAAAAAAACTTTGTTAAGCAAATATTTTTCATTAACGAACTTAACGCTGGACGAACAGTCCGCAACGCGACTGCAGTCAACAGAGCTGGAACCGTCAATCACGCGATGCAAGCACTGCCGCCTGCACCGGCGATCCACGGGGCCATTTCCCCAACATCCACCAAGCCTCCGGAGAGGCCACTTGAGAGGCTTAATAACCTCGATAGCCACACAGATGCAGCGTAGCTAATTTCACGTCGACACACGAGAGGAGAGGAGTGGACGCTAAATAAATCCACATTGTTGCTGTGTGTCCTTTGTCCGCAGGATCTGTACCTGCCCCTGGCTCTGGATGAGAAGTGAGGCAGAGTCGGAACCACAAGACAAGAGCAGGGGCAGGAGGAGGAGGGGGGGGGGGCGATGGTTCAGACGGTGACGTTCATTTGGAATTCTGTGGCTGTTCAATTTTCTGGCCATAAACCACCGTTACCCGGGCCTGCTCATCTCATTTCTCATCGCATCATCTGTCCGCCCGTCCATTCCGTTACCCGTCGTGTACTAAGCCGTTCAAACAAAAAAAAACATTCATCATAATAATAGTCTGCACATTCGCTTATAACATAGATGTAATTCCGATCGACGTTTATTTTGGCTAGGAACTGAAAAACGCAAGTCGTGTTTTCGTCAGCCTTTTCGGATATGAAACAACCATGAAGCGGCTGTAATGTCAGTGATCTAAGTGCAGAGTGAAAAGGGCGTGCATTGTGTATCGATCGATGATTTTTTATTGCTTTTTTTACGTAGATTTTATGATTTTGCGACATTTTTTTTTAAATGGGCACTCGCTTGATTTTATTTCTCCTTGCATAACTACAACTATATAAATGGTTACACGTAACTGTATGTAGGAACTGATGTTTGGCTTGCGATGATTCACCTGATTCCACTGCCATCACCAAAGCATTGTAAAGATGTGCAGAAGCAAGGTGTTGAACAGGGTGTCAGGGGTCAGCCATAAGAATTAAACTTGCTTTAAGTGTTGTGCTCACTCTCTCTGAAACTCACGTAACCCCACACCCCCCCCTCCCCCCGGCCCAACACCGCTGTCAGTCTCTCTGTCTCCCACACCTGCACACACACACACGCACCACATCTCCTAATAAACGCCCGTGTCTTTCATGCCCAAGTTTGCTTTCAAAGCGCAGTTGATGAAAACCCACTGCCGCCGAGTTGACCGGCCACATGGCGCTCTGCGTGTGTGACCTTGGGAAAACTCTCTTCGTTTAGTGGATGAGCCCCATAAAGTAATTCCCTTGAAAGATCAAATGCCACTTGAGTGCTGCTCACGTCACACCGGTGCACTCTGGGATTTTATAATTTTCGATGAGAGCGGCCCTGAAGTTGTGTACGAGATTACGGCGGATCGACGTCTCTTCTCGAAATCTTTACAGAAACAACGCAACTCTGGACTTCTTCACGCGTGATGCGTTGGGTTATTACGGTTTCCGACGAGGTGAAATTTAATCATGAACGTGTCGATTTTATAACGGTACACTTGCGTGTGGTGAGCTTCGAACTAACATCCTTTTATGCTTTCAACTTTCTAACGTTGAACATTTTTCTATTGTTTCTACTTTATTTAATGTTGTCCTTTGTACTTTTTTTCTAAGGTGGGGGAAATATAGATTATTTTGTATAAATATTATCACTTTGACCACAGAGTGGATGATAGTCTCGAATCAACGTCACAACTATAACTCTGCACAATTGCTAGGCTGACATTGCTAATAAACGTTACTTTAACTACGGTAATCGGAGTAGTTGTCATAAAAACAGAACCACTTGGAATGGGACTGAGAACGCCCGAGCTAGGTCATGTCACAGTTTTAACAGCTGCGCGTTATAATCCACTCGAAAGTTTCGTGGGGTGATTTTTAACGGAACGTGGGCGCTGGGAAATTTAGAAAAAAAAATATTGTACAGTCTGTTCTCCTGTAACGCGGTAGATGCGTTCCTGAAGAACAACGCGATACGGGGGGGGGGGGGGTGGGGGGGAAATGCGTTATAATAAATAATATATAATATAGGGTAAAGCACAGTCCGCGACAACACGGTGAGATGCGTACGCAGGCTGAACAATGACCGAGGTTCGTGGATAGCATCTAGAAGCATCCAGCAGTATCCCGCCTTGTGTGACACTAACGCCGAGGCAGCCGTGCGACCGCTCGCGCGACGCAGTTCCGTTCACTCGCTCGCGTTATATCCAATTGGCGCTGTGAAAACGCTCGTGAATGGGAGAACAGACTGAATCGCGTTAGGGTGAATGGTGCACTCTCTAAACCCTCCCCCAAGCACAGTTCTATCAGGAGCGACCACCGGGCAACAGAGAGCCCAGAGACTGTTTCTCTTTTTTATTTCAGTGCATTGGACAAAACCTACCCTCCTCATTTCCCAGAATTGTAAAAGTGTCTCTACCCCCTACCAAGTCCTCCCACATCCCCCCTTGCCCTCTCTTTTGTTTTTACTTCGATTTTCTCTCTCTTTCTCTCTCCCTCCAATGTTGGCTGATGTTGTTGCTCCTGAAGCCAGAGGTAGGATTTGACTTTTTTTTGGTCAGGCTCTGCTTGGAATGTGCATGTTTGTGCAGGACTTGTTACTCTTGTGAAGTGGTTTTATTTATTTTAAATGCAAAACTGTGGGGGGGGGGACTTTTTTATTTTATGATTTCCTTTGCCGTTTCTCATATGGGTAATTGTTTTTTTTTTCTTCCCGCTTCCAGTATCTCGCTGTTAGTGTTAGGAATATTTAACATGATGGTAAATAAAGAAAGCCTTTCGTTGTATCACATTGTCGAGTGTTTTGTTACTTTTAAAAAAAAGGCTTAATCGGTGGTAAAAACGGTCATTCGGTCAACAACAATAAAACTGTTTAACACGTAGGCAGGGACCTCGTTTAGCGATCAAAATGCCTTCCTGGAGAAACGAGCGCTAACCAAATCAGCGCGAAGAGGGTTCGTTATACCATTGTATACCCACATGGGGATGTGTTAACGACAACGTTATTTCTTACATAATAACAATATATGATCGGCTCTATTGGAGTATCGATAAACACGCTAACAATACTGTACTGTTAATGCTGAGTGGAGTATGAAGACCGTTTTGTGTAAGGGTTCCCAGCTCCTCCTTCGCATGTTCAGCCAATTCCTTCATTTAGAGGTTTGTATGTACGTATGTTGAACTTTTTTCACACCATACGTAGCCAACGATGTTAATCAGAGGTGTGGGGGGAGGACAACGAAACACAAAAAGCAGTTCTGCAGAAATGAGTGTGTCAATCTAGAGGATGTTTTAAAAGTTCACAGCTCCGGTGGCTTCCTTATAATCGGAAAGGAAGAGAGCGTTCCAGACGGCCGCAGAAGCGCATCTGAAAGCGCTGCGCGATGCGGTGGCCGCGCTTTCAGATTCGCTTCTGCGGCCGTCTGGAACGCGCTCTTCCTTCCGATATTCGGAAGCCCGTCGGAGCTACGCAAGTTGGTGCCAGTGGGGTGCCCGCGCCGGCGATGTTGTGGCGAGGTGCCTTCTTTCTCCTCGCAGCGAGATGTGTGCCGTTTGGCGACTGGCGACGATTTAATCCGGCAAAATTTGACCGCCAACAACAACAAAAACTAAAACTACGCTGAGCCAGGGGCGATTCCAGGGCGCGTGTTGTGAGGCTGTCACGCCGGTTTCCTTCGTTTTACCACGTGGTGGATTGCCTCGTGCCACCATGCCATGCGATGTCCAGGGTGCTTCAAATGAATGTTAACACTTACATGGGTCTATCTCTTTTTTTTTTAATGGAAATTTTTACGGATAATAATATCCGTAACAGGATAACAAATGTATTTTAATAGCTTCAAAAAGTCAAAGAGTCTCCCACTTGTTCGCCACCATTGTCAACGCGTGCCCTGGAATTTTCTCCAGGTGGTCTCCAGAGCCCGGAGGCAGCAGCACATTTCTGCGCGGTGTTGTTGCAATGCTTCGAAGCGTTAAAAAAATTTTGAAGCAACCCTGTATATTGCAAAATTCCGCGCGTCGTGAGTTTTCGATGTCTCGCACACCCCTGTTTAGATGTTCTCGTTGTGTGGGGGGGGTGGTGGTGGGGCACATTTTGACGACGTTGGCTCTGTCTAGCGCCAGGGGGCCGGGTGGGGAGGGGGGCAAACTGCGGAGCTCCGGAGCCGCGTGGGGCGGTGGCTCTTCAAGGAGTCTCATCGTGGCCGTCATTTGTCGAAGACTGTCGTCCCGTGTCCACGTCCGGTGTCCACGCCACGTGTCCACGTCCCGTATTCACGACTCATTCACGTCCCGCATTCACGTCTCGCATTCACGTCCCGTATTCACGCCCCGTATTCACGTCCCGTGTCCACGCCCCGTGTCCACGTCCCGTATCCACGTCTCGTATTCACGCCACACGCAGTGCGTTGCGGCTCGGGAAATATTGAGGGTGTTTTTTTTCGATTTAAAGCTTTCGTGACTGCAAGGATTCATCTTCTTTGGTTCTTTCGGTAAAGTCACGTTGAATGAGAAAAAAATAATAAATTGATAAAATAAAATAACACAATAAATTCTCACGACGTTTCGGCCACAACACAAGCGGCCTTCATCAGGTGAAGGGACGAGACTGTCTGGAGGACAGCGCTGGAGGCCGCTTGTGTTGTGGCCGAAACGTCGTGAGAATTTTATTGTGTTATTTTATTTTATCAATTTATTATTTTATTCTTATTCTATGTGACTTTACGGAAAGAACCAAAGAAGGTGTTTTTTTGTTCGCGAATTTGATAGGAACAAAAAAATGTCTCCTTGTTGCATAGCTGTGACCCCCTTATCAGTGCCCTACTTCATTACAGACCAATTCAGATCTCATTGGTCACCCCGTGGTCCTTATAAATCTCAACGTTCATCCTACAAAGTCCCATCACAAGGGAGAAACACAAACAGACAACAACATAATTGTTTTTGTTGCCCGCATTGAAACGGCTGTGCGTCGTATGGACCTTGAAACCAACTTTCCCTGGACAAGAATACGGGTGGGTAAACCGTGTGGGTTGACACGGTGTGTTGTTTTTATTTTGATTTAAAGCTTTCGTGACTGCAGGGATTCATATTCTTGGTTCTTTCGGTAAAGTCACCACGTAGAAGGGAAACAATAAAATAATACAAATATAAAACAATAAAATTCTCACGACGTTTCGACTGCAACACAAGCAATCATCATCAGGTGTGAAAACCACAAGAGCAGACTGCAGCGAATCATCCACACTGCTGTGGTTTTCACACCTGATGATGATTGCATGTGTTGCAGTCGAAACGTCGTGAGAATTTTATTTTTTATATTTGTATTATTTTATTGTTTCCCTTCTACGTGGTGACTTTACCGAAAGAGCCAAGTTTACGGTGTGTTGTTGTTGCTGTTTTATTTGCTCGACCCGACAACCCCCTGGTCTAGCGCCATCTGGCGACTTTTCTGCGCGCCCGGATGGTGACTCATGCTGCTGTTGGTGTTATATCTACTAAATGTGATTGTATTCCGCATCCTCCCTCACATCATCCATTGCGACATCCTGACATTCTGGACGGCATTACCAGTTTGCATCGACGGTATCGGACACACTCGGACTCATCGGAGTGGCGACTCCTCTCTCTCTCTCTGCTTTTTTTTAAGGAGCTGCCAAAACCACTTTTGAGCCGGAGTGGAGAGATTTTCGCCGTCAGATGGCGACGCGATTTTCTCGCGTGCCTCTCCGGCAGATTTCGCGGTGGATTTTTTTTTTGTTTTAACCATTCGCAATGTCGCGTTCTTAACAAACAAAATCCAATCCGGCTTGCGGGTGGCCACGGTTGTTGTTGTTTTTGTGTGTGAACGTCATCGCACGCGTGTGGGATTTTCTCACGATCAGTGCCGGATGAAGCTCGTGCGGGGCCTGTAGCATATGCTGTTATAAAGGGGCCCTAAAATAAATAAAAACACATTCTTGGTTCTTTCGGTAAAGTCACGTAGAAGGGAAACAATAAAATAATAAAAATACAAAACAGTCACGAAAGCTTTAAATAAAAAAAAATTTAAACACGTAATTATTAAAACACGCACATTTTTTTACTTGCATAGTAAAGTAATTGTATTTTTTCATTTGCAATACAGCCCAGATAATACGACAAATCGCTAACCTTAAACACCCAGTCGTTCATAAAAGTTGAAGGCGGTATAGTACTATAGTAATAGAGCAAGTGCAGAATCACTGAACCGGAATTGATAGCTTGAAAACATTTAGCGCGGGGCCCTTGAAAGTGCGGGGCCCGTAGCTACTCCATATATAGTAGCTACTTGTGCTACTAGGATCATCAGGCACTGGTGACCATCCCTAAATTGGTTCCGTTGTGGGGACTAGATCGTACGGTTTATGCCGATGGCCAATTTGTTAACGATAACCCTCCACCACCCGACAGGGGCCAGTCAAATCGAGGGTGTACGTCGTGGGAAAATATGCAACTCGATTTGTCTTAGGGTTTCTTATTTTTATATTCTTGGGTTTTTCGGTAAAGTCACGTAGATAGGTTCAAAGAAAATAACAAACTACGACGTTTCGATCGCAACACAAGCAATCGTCATCAGGAGAAAAATAAACGTCGTAGTTTTTTGTTATTTTTGTTATTTTCTTTGAACCTATCAACGTGACTTTACCGAAAGACCCAAAGAATATTCATTCCTGCAGTCACGAAAGCTTTAAATCAATATTTTTTTTCTTCAGCAAATCGAAGCAGGAGGAGGACAATGAGTAATGTTGAAGAGCAAGCGAAACATATCATTGGCATTTAATGATGCTGCTCTTCGTGTGAATCTGTCGGGCAGTGCACGTGTTTCTTAATGCGCGTGTTCATGTACAGGTGTGGGTTGCTTTGTCAATCCTCTTGCTGGAT